AATATTTATGGCAGTTGCAGTGTCCCAGGGTTATGTCATTGCCTTTTGCGACATCCTGATAAGCAAAGTCAATGGGAAAATCCAATTCACTTAATAATCATGTTACTAACGTAACAACCACAGTGATTCACTTAACAACGGTGACAAGAAAGATAGTAAAATGGGGCAAAACTCACTTAACAAATGTTTCACTTAGCAACAGAAATTTGGGGCTCAATTGTGGTTGTAGGTTGAGAACTACCTGTACAGAAATTAACTCTGAGGTATAAAATCTCTAGAAATGTTGAGGAAATGGACTAAAAGTTTGCTCTGAGAAAAATAATATTAGGGAAAATTGAAAGCCGTTTATGAGGCACTTTTTACTATTCCAAACATACCTCATACATAACTTGGTTTGCTTGTTGTTATATTTTATCATATAATAAACTGAAAAGTATAGTTGATTCTTTTAAAAGGACACTTAAGTAATTGATTGTGTCATAATATATCAGATTAGTAAGAATGTGAAAATATGTACCACTGAGTGTCTTTTTGATTATGGCAAAATATAAATCTGATAAATAAATGTAGCGCTAATAAGAGTTTGATACACTGAATTTGGAATTTTTAGTACAAAATTATGGAAACCTTTCTTTCTGTTCCTTTCAGCTGGTCTAGTCATTTATAGATTTGAGCACAGGAAGAAAAATTATTTCCAGTCTCAACAACAGTCTTAATATTCCCTATCACAACCAGTTCCTCGTTTCTAATCTCTACAGCTATTTTAGCCAGAGCAATCTTGAATTTTGAAAAAGTGTGATGAATGCTTTCAAAAAGTATTGTCATCTAGTGCAGTGTTTTTCAAACTTGGCAACTTTATGACATTGGACTTCAACTTCCTGTGTTGGCTGGGCAATTCTGGGAAGTTCACACGTGTTAAAAGTTGCTAAGGTTGGAAAAACATTGATCTTGATCTAGGTAGGAAGCCAGTCACAAAATACCTATTAGAAGGCAAATAGATACATGTACCGGTTTGTGGGCAACTGGCACTTGAGCATAGCTAAATTTCACCCTTCCATTTATTTTTAGTTAAAATCATTAAAAAAAACGGAGCTGGCATGTTGCAGAGCCAAAATCCTGGTAGGCATAAGGGAGATAGTGATGGATATATTGCAGTGGTGAAATTCAAATTTTTTTACTACTGGTTCTGTGGGCGTGGCTTGGTGGGCGTGGTGTGGCTTGGTGGGCGTGGCAGGGGAAGGATACTGCAAAATCTCCATTCCCAGCCCACTCCAGGGGAAGAATACTGCAAAATCCCCATTTCCACCCCACTCTGGGGCCAGCCAGAGGTGGTATTTGCCGGTTCTCCGAACTCAAAATTTTTGCTAAACTCAAAATTTTTGCTACCAGATCTCTGAACTGCTCAAAATTTCCGCTACCGGTTCTCCAAAACCTGTCAGAACCTGCTGGATTTCACCCCTGATATATTGGTGTTGTAAGATCATAATAGAGACTGACTGTATAGCATCTAACAATATATGGATTTTACCTCCTCCATTGCCCTCTTGGTCCTCTATTACCTTTTCAGCTGGCAAGGCAAAAGGAAGAAACTCTTAAAATGTGAGCAAGTTAGCCCAGAAAGAAAGTAGGCACTGAATCTTTTTCATTCTCTTGTAAAAATGACAGTGTCTCTTGGAGACAGAAATGCACATTATTTTTGCAGATATAGCTTGACCTCCATGCAGCAATTATAATGATTACTGCATATATACAAAAATGACTCTTCCCTGCCTATTTTCTAACAATGGTGGTGGGAGGAACAATTTCAACCTCCTTGTAAATATTTTATTCATTATTCTGAAACAAAGTGTTTTTCATGACAATTTTTTAAAAGTCCAGCTGTCCAGGTAAAACAAAAATGATAGGGGTAGGGGAAACTTTATTTAAATCAAAAATAATTCCTTTCTCTCCCACTCTTCACAGCTCTCCAAAGAACTAAAATGACTGTTCTTCTACAGATTACATGAAGTTAAACCTAAAAATAGAAGATATAGCAATGATAGGATAATTCATACATGTTTACTAGATGCTAAAAATACACCTGGAATTAGGAATTTAACATCTGCCTTGACAGTAAGTTCCTTGGAAAAAGATAGGATTTAAATAGTATAAACTTCATCTCAATTCTGCAAGATATCAACCTTAGCACACTGATTGTTTTGACATAAATAGCCAAGTACCTGAAATTGTAATCATATATATGCACCCAAGAATTAAAGTTAATTAAACACAATACCCCTATTTCTACAACACATTTAGTTATCACAAACCCAGTAAAACATAATACTGTAAAATAGTTATTTGTAGTCTGGCAGCTCATAATCACACTAACTGGGTCAAAAAGTCACAATTCTCCTTTTCTCTAGGAGTGTCTGGTGTGTTTTGTGTTGTCATGATAGGTGATTAGCAAAGCTTCATGACCTCACTAATCACCTTCCCTATTGGTCAGGCAGCCATGGATAGTCAACACAATTACGTTTCGGACCAATTATGTGTTCGGAACTGGCAACACATCATCTTGCCAATAAAGTTCTATAACTGATAGACTTTTTCACCCATTCTTTCTCTCCACCTCTTTTTCTTGGAGGACTAGGTGAGCAAAATGGGTCAGTTGATTTATTGTAGTTTGTCCCACAGCACAACTGACTAGATGGAATGTGGTTAATCCTGTGCATTACAGGTCTGTTTAAGGCTAAATTTAATCCACTGGAGCTAGGTGATTGGATCAATTTGCATTTTCTTGGTGTTCCCATAAACTCATTAACTATCCATTAATGAGTTAAATATATTGTGAGAACAGTTACTGAATTTTATTTTCAAACCAGCCTATGTAGGAAATGCTTTAATTGTCCCTCCTTCCATAAATCAAATAACCTGAAAATTGTGGTTTTGAATGGATAAGTCCTGGAATTCCTGCTTGTGGACCTACTGAGTTCAATGGTGCTTTTTGAGACGAGGCACATGGTGTTGCTATTCAAAAGACAATATGCAGTTTTCCTCTCTTCCTTCTTCAATATTTTGAGTGAAAAGAAATGGAAAGCCCGGTGGGAAAACAATTAGATCTAGAAGAAAATAACTGGTCATCCTGTACAATTCTGTTAAAGAGTTAGAGTGATAGCATGACAAATACCTTATCTGGCAATACCTTTTTCATATATCAGTGTTGTATACAAGGTATCTTACAGCCAAAATGCTTAATTTGGGGAGGAGGGAATATTATATATCCTCCAACTGTTAGCTAACAGTGTCAATTGATGAAAATTGACTTTTTTTTATCAATTAGTTCATTTAAAAAAAATTCCAAATGTGTAAAGAAATGTACTTTCTAATTAAATGCCCTGAAAGTAAAACTAGGTTATTTTCCCAAATAATGTATGTTTAAGATTAGAAAATTGCCTTAAGATTCACTGAGAATACAATAAAAAGAATCTGGTAGTATCTGCTATATGATGACTCTCATCCTCTGATGAGAATATGATAATAAAAGAAAATATATAACACTTTCTGGAGAGATTTCCCTCCTTTCATGTTACTGCAATATATATTTTTATTTTTTTTAAAAGGAATAGCACTGTTACTGGTTTTGTCATTCACCTGCTGGATGAAATATGTTTATACAGTACTGAATGAGATCTATCTCACTAGGAGCTGTGGTGGTGGACTGGTGAAAATGCAGTATTGCAGGCAAACTCTAGTCACAGCCTGATGTTCAATCCTGACTGGCTCGAGGTTGATTCAGTTTTCCATCCTTCTGAGGTCAGTAAAATGAGGACCCAGATTGTTGGGGGAAAATATGCTGACTTTGTAGACTGTTCAGGCAGTGCTGTAAAGCATTATGGATGGAGTCATATAGAAGTCTGAGTGCTATTGCTGCCCATTCTTTTTGACATCTCAACTTCTTCTTCCAAAGTGCAGGTGTTTGTATTTCAACATCTGGTCCATTTTTTTTTTTACCTTTCACCTTTCCTATTTGATTTAGCATCCAGCCTGAAGAATTCAACATTATTTATTTTTGTGTCATTTTTCTTGGGCTTGCATCCGTAACTTCACATGTAGATGTGTGATTCCATGAAGCATTAAAAGATAGTTTTTCCCAAGAAATAACATCAAAAGAAGACTCCTAATCAATCTTTAGAAGAAAAATAGAAGAATTGACTTGAACACTCCAGACCACCATTTTCTACTTGAGTCATAAATGATAGCTAGATGATAGATAGATAGCTAAATAGCTAGATAGCTAGATAGCTAGATAGCTAGATAGCTAGATAGCTAGATGGATGGATGGATGGATGGATGGATGGATGGATGGATGGATGGATGGATAGATATAGATAACAGCTCTTGACTTTTGCTTAGTGACCATTCAAAGTTACAACAGCAGTTAAAATAGTGACTTATGTTTTTCACATTTATTACTGTTGTAGCATCCCTGTGGTCACATGATCAAAATTCGGATGCTTGGCAACTGGTTCATATCTATGATGGTTGCAATGTCCCTGGCTCATGTGATCACCTTTTGTGACCTTCTGACAAGCAAAGTCAATAGGGAAGCCAGATTCACGTAACTGTGTTACTAACTTAACAACTGTGCCAAGAAAGGTAGTAAAATCACTTAACAACAGATATTTTTGGTTCAATTGTGGTCAGACGTTGAGGGCTACCTGTACATAGATATTGTAGAATTTTAATCACTTCTTATATTATAACAAGCTCACCTAATCCACCCTACCTTTTTATGAGACTGATCCTTAGTCCTACTTTATTTAACACTGGAAGTATTTTTTTCTCTATCTTTTCCTAGAAAAAAAAAATCAAAAATACCTCACTGAGTGTTTTAATAAATTCCATCGTGTTCCTTTCAGCCCAATCCTATGAATTCAATTTCTTGCACCCAGTTTAAAAAATTCCAGTTTTATCTAGAATTATGGACTCAGGCTCCAAAATATCAGTTCCAGCCTTGCTGAAGTCAGTGAAATTTATACTTCTCAGTAAATACATAGGACAGCAGTGATAGTTAATAAATCAATTGTTAAACAACATTACTTAAAATATTGTTATATTTTATAACTCGATTATTAATTCATTCCATTTCTGGAAAATAAAACCATCAAGTAATGATATAAGAACATGACAGATAGCATAGAGTTTTGCAAAAACAGCTTTAACCAAGAGATTTAAATGTCACTCAGGAACATTTGCCTGTAAAATACCAATTTATTTTAATACTTAAAAAATAATAATAAATCCAGTGATAAATGTTCATTATCAAGAATCAGCATAAAGTGCCAAATAGCAATAACTTTAAACCAAAAACATATTGGAATGTCTTGTCTTGTCTTTTTTTTAAAATTTTAGTTTACACTGTTTAGGGGAAAAAAATAAAGATGATTCTGGATAAAATGCTCATGTTGAGATTTGTCAGCAAACTCTCCCACCCACCCTTTTACAAAACTCAGTTCACCATCACCTGGGCATCCGCTCACTTGAAAGTACTACCAAGGCCACACCGTGCACAGCAGTCACTTTGATTTATTATTATCAAGTTTCCCTTTTGTCACTTGGGTTATTTTTCATTGGTTGGTTGCTTGATTTGGTTTGCTTGGTTTTTCTTTCCATTTTTCTTTCAAATTACAAACTACCTCCCAAGGCAACAGATCATGAATAAACAGAAACGACAGAATGCTCACTAGAGCATGCAGAAGAGATTCCCCCATACACACACACAAAAAAAACCCTGTCCACCAAAGACAGAAGTGGTAATTTCTGAAGAAGATGGCAGACCCCTGTTATAGCACAAATCTCCTTCAGAATGTTGCCTCTTTCCAAGCAGTTTTATTAGTGATCTTCCCTGCCATCTCATCGTGCCCTCAAATGTAGAATTAGTTAGGATAATACCCTTCTAGATGATCTTTTCCAAAGTTTATAAAGGAGACACTTTTAAACAAATCACTCACAAAAGAATAAACTTAATCGGGGAGGTAGAAAGCTATTTGTTGTTTGTGTTTGAACTGAGGACAAAAATTCCTCTCTAATACATGAGCACCACCTTTTGACGTAAAGTTTAGTGAAGTCACGCAGGATTTACACTTGGAAGTACCCAGGTTTCGAAAAGGCTGACTGCATTTTTGTGCATGACGGGTTGTGGGTTTTCTTGATGTATTTTTTTTTTAAGTATTAAATTAATTACGTTGAGTGTTCCCCATTGTCTCTGTGAAGAATTTGATCTAAAATGAAGAGTGAAGCGGAGAGATGAAGTTCGTTGGGGTTAAAATCTTTAGCATTTCATTTTGGAAGGTCTGAGTTCCTTTACTTGTGTGTGTAGTGTCTTGTGAACAGCCAGAGTCCTGGATTGGCAAAATCCTTTTCCGCATTCTTGACACTTAAAAGGTTTTTCTTTTGAGTGGATATATCTGGGAAGAGAAAATAAGAGAAAGAGAGAAAAAGATTTTTTTTTTAAATGGATGTTTAACCTCTCTAGGGAAATACAATTCTGTTTCAATTTGCTGGAATACAAACATTTGCTGGGGGGGGGAGTAAAGGGTGCTTTATTCAACTAAAGAAAATGGTAATCATTCTGGATTTGGATGAAGAATTAATGTTGATCCTGCTGCAATTTACTGTTTAGACCAATGTATCTCAATCTCAGTAATTTTAAGGTGTGGGGACTTCATCTCTCAGAATTCCTCAGTCAGTTGAGAAGCACTGGTTTAAACAGTGGCACTTTTAGCAATAGCACTTAGACTTATATACCGCTTCATGGTGCTTTACAGCCCTCTCTAAGCGGTTTACAGAATCAGCCTATTGCCACCAACAATCTGGGTCCTCATTTGATGGACCTCAGAAGGATGGAAGGCTAAGTCAACCTTGAGCCGGTCAGGATCGAACTCCTGACAGTGGGCAGAATCAGCCTGCAATACTGCATTATAACCACTGCACCACCATGTACACATGAGTATGTCATGATGCAACTGGCCATGATTAAGAGATTGTATCAAGATACCTAACTCAAGGGCATAAATTGCAGCACTTTTTGGGATTATATCATCACACGCATCACCATTGGCTCTCCCTGGCCCACTCTGCAAGAACTCGGGCAAGTACAAAAATAGCCATGCAATATTTTTGTTAATATCAGAATGAAATTCCATCCAAAACTGAACACAAAAAGATATATTTAGAGCATCCCTTTGAATTGGATAGAAAAATACAAAAATCAAAGATCCCACCATCCCCAGAAATAATTGAATTAGAAAGTTTAATATCCAGTTCTATGTTAATAATATCAGTAGAATTTATATAGCAGTTGTGTATCAGTATATCCCACTGTTTTCAGGCAATTCTGAAATCATATTTTCAACTCCCATTATGTTTGGTAGTGAAAAGTAGAAAGGATTAAATTCTAAACGCATAGCACTGTCCTCTTTCTATTAGTATTACCATATCTAGGCTGGGGGAAAAAACCTCAGATAGTAGCAAAGAGTTAAGAATATCTTGATAGTCATCTGGTGGTCATTTGGACTTTTAGCAGATTACACCACAGAGTATTCTTAATTTATAACTAGACTTTTGGATAAAAAGAGAAGGATCCAAAGACTCAAACTTTTTTTTAGTTGCTTAAAATAAGTGACCAAGGAAGTATCCAACTTTAATCAGAAGAATCCTGAAGGAAGAATTTTTTTAACACTTCTGCTCTCTTTAAATCTGTCTCTCAGAATTGCTATTGCCCTGCAGGAGACAATATAGAAGCCTTTCTTATTTCCCATCTTTAACATTGGAAATAATACTAATGTTACATTGTCATGGTAGTATGCTAGTCTATAAATTAAATAACCAAAGGATCCTAATTATTTATGGTTCCTTGTTATTTTTCTAAATCCTTTAACATTCACTTGGCCTCCCCTATTCCAATATAAAACAGACAGAAAAAGCCCAGAAATCATAAAACCAGAACAAACAATGAAAAAAGATAATTCATAAAGGAGCTTCACACGATATTAACAGGCCTTTGTCCACTTTAAAGTGGTTGCAATTGGCTTAACTACTGGTATAATGGTTTATGTATTGATTTTATTAGCATGCTGAGAATTCTCTATTAGATTTTAGCATAGTTTTCATAATCCAATGCTACACTTTGAAACTGATTTAAGTGTGTCTAGTAGACATGTATTTATCATACCAGTAAAAATATGGAAATACAAACTAAATGAAGAACCATTACAATAAAATTTAATGTTTTTTTTTCTATTTGTGTACATGTCAAGGAAAGAGTGCACAAAAAGCTACATAAAGTCTCTTGGGGGGAAATGTTGATTTTGTAATCAGAAATTGTATCCAGTTTTGGCATTCGATTACCAAACTTAGTGATTTAAAGCAGAGTTCATTGATTGGACTGTTGGGAACTATTATTTAGAGCAGACCGTAATGTAAAAAATAATTTTAAAAAATTGGGGGGCGGGAAGAGAGAGAATAGTGATATACTCTCTAAACAAGAGTTTAAAAATACAAAGCAAACTCCTGATCTGCACTGTCTTGAAACCAATATATCTAAACTTTGTCTTTTTGAAATATGCAGTTATACTTTGAATTGGTAATTATTTAAGGGAGGATACAGTTAAAAGTATACTCTTTACATACAGATGATTCAGTTTTGATTAGCTTTGCCATTGTTATTCGCATGGTATCTGTTCTGCCTGGCATAAGTTACTAGCCATATGCCCAGTTAGTAAATTAAAGTTGCCAGAGATAAAGCTCTGGAACTGATGATCTAAACATCATTCCAGAATGAGAAACCTGTGCTGCTCCAGATGTTGCTGAACTTTAGCTGCCTGGACCAATGAGAGTTGTATTTCAGCGAGCCCTAGAGAAGCACAGGGTGTTTCTCCCAGACAGTAATAAAAGCATAATAGGATTTCTACCGATAAAATCGTTTCTTTGTTGTGATTCCAACTTGCTCTTAAAAAACAAGTTCATCTGCATATTTATTCCATAAAGCTTAAGTAGCTGAAAATTCAGTGAGGTTTACTCTGAAACCGTATCCTCCCTCCAGATGTGTTCAACTACAATCCGTAAAATCCTCAAAGAACATAACATTTTGAAGTAAGCAGGGAGGTATCTAGCGGGCATGAGTATGGAGAAAGCAGGCATACAAGACTGAAATGGTCATCATTTCAGTCATCAAATGGCCATCATCAAATGGTCATCAATGCTCAAATTAAGAAGCATGGGCAATCAACAATGGATTAGGAGAATAAGGGGAAGCACGCAGATTCAATCCCTGGGCACCTTCTCAAAGGAGAATCTGGACTCATGGAGTTAGCAATAGCACTTAGACTTATATACTGCTTCACAGTGCTTTACAGCCCTCTCTAAGCAGTTTACAGAGTCAGCATATTGTCCTTAATAATCTGGGTCCTCATTTTACTGACCTCGGAAGGGTGGAAGGCTGAGTCAACCTTGAGCCAGTGGGAATCGAAATGCTGAACTGCAAGCAGCCGGCAGGCAGCAGAAGTAGCCTGTGGTAATGCATTCTAACCACTGTGCCATGGTTATGGTACAGTAGTACCAATGGTAATGATCTTTGTTAAAGATCTCTCACATTAATGGTAATTAATTAATTACCATTTGGTACCAATGGTAATTAATTACCATAATGTGAGAGATCTTTAACAAAGATCATTACCATTTTTTGCATGATAATAGCAAGGTGGATGAAACAGGAGAGAGACTGGGACATATCAAGTTATCAGTGATGCCATCAGAGAAGGATATGAATGTCCATAGCCTCTACTCAGGAAAATGAGGAGCATCCTGGAGTACCAATCCAGTTGACCCCATTTTGAATTAAATGAAAAGTAATATTTCTTTCATGTTGAATGGGAACATAAGACCATGAAAAGCAATTTCTAGAACTGCATGACCAGTGCCTATAAGAGATCTTCATTTTTCTGAGCTTTAAGAATTGTTTGCAAATGTTCAAGCCCTACATTATCAACATCACATTATCTGCAAAAAAATGGATATCCATTACTTAAATGGGTGTATTATATTTAAATCAAAGCAGTGTGGTTTATATTTACGATGCAACCCAAACAAGCAATATTGTGATAAATTTTCTATACAATGCACCCTAAAATCCTTTATAATAAACCTGAGTTTTGTTAAATAAACATATTCAATTACCTGTGATCTCTCAGATGATCTTGCCTTCTGAAGGCCTTATGACAAATGTCGCACGTGTATGGCCGCTCATCTGTATGGGTTCTTTCATGAATCAAAAGGTTGTAGGACTTGGTGAAGTGTCTGCCACAGAATTTGCACACAAACTCCTTCTTGGTTTTGGAGGGTAGCCTCCCACGGGTGGGTTTCTTCTCAGGGGAAAGTTTGGTCACTTCAAGCAATGGGCCCAGGCCTGCAGAAGACCCTTGGTTGTCTATCTGTCCCAATTTTGAATGATCTTCTTGGGTGGCAGCCACAGCAAGGTTTGCAAAATCAAATCGAGGCTTGGCTTTGAGCGGCATATTTGTGGCTTCGTGCTTCGGATGGATGACGTGTGGGAACAACGGGAAGGCAGGCAATTGGAATCTGGCATCCACGAGGCTGGTCACACCAGGCACTTTGGAGAATGACGAGCGGGGCAAATGCATGGCAGGGTAGCCCAAAGTCCATTGGTGAAGGTGAACAGCATGGAGGGCACTGAAACCGTAGAGGTTGGGCAGATGGTCTGAAGGCACTGCAGGGAGGCCATTGAATGCTTGCAGAAAGGAGTAATTGGTCAGCTGCAGGGAAGGATGGATGGGTACTGGGGCAGGCAAGGTCTTGCTCCCCATACTGGCAGAGAAGTCTGAAAGAGAAGGCAAGTGCCTGCAAGAAAGGAAGGAAGGGGAGAAAAATAAAATGGGCTCAGTAAATGAAGTGTGGGACAAGGCAGCTATTTAACATAATCATCCCTAAACAGAAATAAGATGACACAAAGACACTGAACCAAGAAGAACAGGCATAGAATAATGTTAAGAGAATGTTAAGATACTGAATGAAGAAATTATAAGTACAGATATTATAAGTACAGCATCAATTGTAAGCTGCAGCTTCAGTCTCTTTTTCCCAAAAAAACTTTATTAGTTTAAAATATTAAAATACAAATACATCTGTAACAAAAATAGGTCCATAATAATTGTACACTTCAACGTCGTTCTGACAGTACCCAAATCTTAACTCTATTCATATATTCCCAGATATTCCTACTTGATCAAATATATGTAAACACAATTTTTGTCTTATTTTGATCTATATATTTCCTATTTTTATTTTCTATCCATTGATGCTGGTTTTCCCAAGTTGAGTAATATTCCGAGTCTTCCTTATTATTTAATTCTATAGTAAGTTTGTCCATTTCTGCACATTCAAAAATTTTCCGGATTATTACACAATCTGTCAGTATAGTGGACATTTTCCAAGCTCGTACGAGTACAATTCTCGCTGCTGTAGTAATACAAATGATCAAATATTTAATCTTTTTAGGATGTTTTCCTTTAATGATCCCCAGAAGAAACAGTTCAGGCTTCAATTCTATTTGGCAATGCGTAATTTCATTTAACCATTTTTGTATTTTAATCCAGTATTTTTTATTTTTTTATTTTATTTATTTATTTGGTTCGATTTATATGCCGCCCTTCTCTGGAGACTCAGGGCGGCTTACAATGCATTAAGCAATAGCCTTCATACTTTTGTATACACCTGCTTAGTAGGGCTTTCGATCCCCCCCCAAGCGGTGTTCTTTTTTATACAGATTCAGCTTTTTGCCCCCACAAACCGGGTCCTCATTTTACCTACCTCAAAAGGATGGAAGGCTGAGTCAACCTTGAGCCTGGTGAGATTTGAACTTGCAGTAATTGCAGGCAGCTGGTGCTATTTAACAGTACTTAGTCTGCTGCGCCACCAAGGCTCTTTTGATTTCTGGGCAAAGCCACCATACATGAAAAAAGGTACCTTGCAGCATTAGTCTCATTTCATAATACGACTTCCCCGACAGATTGTTTTAACAGCTGTACCTTCACAATAAATATGAAACTGAGTAACCTAACCACTAGGAAAATCTTAAGCAGCTATTAGAAATCCTGAAGGGCAACAGCAAAAGCCCCTCTAGTTTTTCCTTCTGAGGCCTGGCCATTATCCCAGAGCTAATCTTCTTCCTGATGGCAGTGTGGAATAAGATTCAGCTACCGCTTCAGAGAGCTTCTGTCCACATCATCTTCTTTGCTTCGTAAAACGAAACGTCTCTGTACAATCCTGTGTGAAACTTTCTGAACTTTGCCCCAGTGTGATATAGACCTTGGTATCCTGGAGACATCAAGGTAGGGATAGCTGCACTATACCAAGGTCATTTTGATTCACTGGGTTATAAAAGGACTAGAAACAGAATGCAATATAGACAGTCCCCAGGTTAAGAAGTTCCGACTTACAGACAATTCATACTTACAAACAACTTTAGCTTATTGCTAAAAATGGTACAAAGCTTTCTCCTTCCTCGAGCCGACAAACTACTGAAGCCTCACAAAGTTTTCAGGAACTGCTGAAGCCGCATGTTTTTTTTAAATACAGCCCGTTTCAGTGGTTCATGAAAACACCGTGCCGCTTCAATGGTTCATTGACATGAGGAAGGAGAAGGGAGGAGTAATAGGTAACTTGTCTTACATACAAATTTGAGTGAAAGACAGACTTAGGAACTGAACTCATTCTTAACCCAGGGACTGATGGGTTGAATAGAAAAGAAGCTTAAATTATATGTTCCCAGACAGAGGATAAGGCTTCCAGGGCAGAACTGGAACGACAAAGTTGTCAACTAGTGAAGAAAGACAAAGGTGTGTCAGTTCCTTTACAACTAACAATGCAATAACAATACAATAAACGTTGTCAGTACAATAACAACTAACTTAATTATTAGTTAACTATAATAGTTAACTCCTATCCCAAAATGGGAGATTCGGTTTGGTATAGTGCTAAAGGCACCGGGTTAGAAACTGGGAGATTGTGAGTTCTAGTTCTGGTTTGGTATAGTGTAAAGGCAAGTTAGAAACTGGGAGATTGTGAGTTCTAGTTCTGGTTTGGTATAGTGCTAAAGGCAAGTTAGAAACTGGGAGATTGTGAGTTCTAGTTCTGGTTTGGTATAGTGCTAAAGGCAAGTTAGAAACTGGGAGATTGTGAGTTCTAGTTCTGGTTTGGTATAGGTGCTAAAGGCAAGTTAGAAACTGGGAGATTGTGAGTTCTAGTTCTGCCTGAGGCACAAAGCCAGCTGGGTGGGTGACCTTGAGCCAGTCATTCTCCCTCACCCCTAGGAAGCAAGCCACGGCTAACCACTTCTGAAATCTTGTTAAGAAAACTGCAGGGATTAATTCAGACAGCAGCCAGGAGTTAACACTGATTTGAGGATGTGCATGTTCACACACACACCACATTGTGTTAAAGCTGGAGGTTAAGCTTGTTGTACCACTGACTTTTATAAACTTGCGAGAGGGAGGAGGGGATGAAAACAGGCAAGCTGATGAGGAGGTTCTGCCTGAAGAGCAGAGATGCAACTTCCAGCTCAAAGCTTCCTTTTACTGCCTTTGCCACAATAATGGAGAGGCACTGAGTTTCATGGAAAAAACAAAACACGTTCAGTGGGTGTTTGGGATATTTAATAAAAAAGCTTACCTTTGGCAAATTTAGACAGGCACACACCTGGTTTGTCAGCTCAGGGTGAGCAGATTAGCCACATCCCTTGCCATTCTTTTTTTTTAGAAAAGGGGGCTTGGTGATGTTCACCCGCACCCCAGATTTCCTCTAAATTGCATAACAGGAATTTAGGAGCATAACAAAATCAAGACTGCTTCTTTACCCAACAGGACCAGAATAGAGAGGTAAAATGAAGCCACTTTAAAAATTAAAATTATTTTTTATAAAAATAAAAAATATTTATTAAAAATGAAGTGGCTTCATGGTTCACATTTTATTTTTTGTCCCATCTAGGCAATGCAGAGCCTCACAGATGCTTTTTTCCCCATTTGCTCTCAGGCCCTCAAGATACAGCCAATGGGAATTATTTCACACTTCAAACTGGTAAGCAAACCTCTTGCATTCTAAGCCAGGGGTCTCCAACCTTGGCAACTTTAAGACTTGTAGACTTCAACTCCGAGAATTCCCCAGCCAGCCATGATGGCCAAACAATGTGGCAGAATTCCTGGACGTTCTTTTTTTTCAGGCGTGTCTATGGAGATCCTCAATCACCCAAGTCATGGTTATCCCAAAGGTGCTTTTTTCCCAAAAGGCAACTGGACTTTGTTTTTTCTTTTGAAAACATTTTGCTTCTCATCCAAAAAGCTTCGAACTGTGAACTGAAGAAGCTTCCTGGATGAGAGGCAAAATGTTTTCAAAGTGGGAGGTGGGGACAAAGTCCAGTTGCCTTTTGGGGAAAAAAACACACCTTTCAATTTTTCTGGAGCTAAAGGAAGGCAGGCTGCAATCTGCAGTCGTGGGACTCAAGACTCAAGTTGCTCCCCAAACGCCTGGATGGTCTTTCATTTTAAGTAGCTTCCTTGTCTCTTTTCTCTCCCTCCCATCACCGTGCTTCAACTCTGACCTCCAATTTCCTTCAGAAAGTTTTTTCAAGGTGCTGTACATATGCCATGCTGTCATTTCCCTTATGCTTTCTTCCACCATGGGGCACGAACCAAATAGGTGATATTCCTTGCTGACCTACTCTGCAATGAAACAAGGGCTTGGAATTTAATGAAATCTACTGCCAGCTATTTATTTTTATTTTTATTTATTTTATTAGTTCGATTTATATATGCCGCCCTTCTCCGGAGACTCTGGGCGGCTTACAATGCATTAAGCAATAGCCTTCATAGTTTTGTATATACCTGCTTAGTAGGGCTTTTTGGGCCCCCCTGAGCGGTGTTCTATTTTATACAAAGTCAGCTTATTGCCTCCACAAACCGGGTCCTGCTATGAGCCACAAATTTAATCCATAGGGAACAACTAGAAAATAAGACCCAGCCTCTCGCCCCCCCATCCCACTTTTTCTTTCTTGCTGTCCATTGTATATGGAAAGACCCAACGCCTTCTATCTTCTTCCAATCAGTTATGAAAGAAGAGGATCCAAGGTTAAAACTTGGATGAGATCACCACTAGGAGATTCCAAAGATGTAACCTTGATTAGGGGGGGGGGGAAATCTGGAAGACGACAAAGGCAAATCTTTTATCTGTTGTTTGAGGAAAAATTGTATTGAAAAATCACTCGGGGTTGAAGTCTCCAGAGATTGAACCGAAGTTGAGGCTAAACATTTAATGGTAGGGTGGAAGGGTAGAAATTTATTTCAAGCCACGTTTTTCAATCCCATCTCCAATCAGAGGTGGGGAATGGAATGGCACAGCAAGCCTAAAATTCAGAAGGACTGAGCAAGTCCTGAACGCAGGGGTCCCCAAACTTGGCAGCTTTAAGCTTGTGGACTTCAACTCCCAGAATTCTCCAGCCAGCATAGCTGGCTGGAGAATTCTGGGAGTTGAAGTCCACAAGTCTTAAAGCTGCCAAGTTTGAAGACCTCTGTGTCTAAAGCCTCAAGTTCAGGAAACTACTATCAGCATCTCAAGAAGCAAAGAGATTACAACTTTCGGAGTCAGCCAGTGAACAAAACTGCCACCGGTTTGAAATGGCACTAATTTACCATTCCCTTCAAAGGAAAATAGGAGAGATAAACGCCAGTTTCCTCCAATGGCGGAGCCTTCCTTGACGAGATTATCCGCATTCAAACCGCTAACCAGCAATTCTGGGAGTTGTAGTCCATCAGCTGCCTGAAGTTAATTCTAGGCTGAGAATAAAGCGA